TCTCTCTACATTTCCAAATATAGAAAGCTTGAAATGAGCACAAGGTTAGGTGGAGTGGCGCTTCCGGCTTCTGGATGTGTCTCCCTGTCCTGGTCGGTCAGCTGCCACTGTCTCTGTTTTTTAGGTCTCTGTCATAAAAGACATTTTTATGGACGCCTGACCAGCTCTTTCATGTCACCATTGGGCTTTATGTTGCTGTTTCATCTTTTCTTCTCTTTTAATTTTTTTTTTTCTCTTTTATCTTTTGTTTTTTTCATCTTCTGACTTTGTGTTGTATTCAGAGATTCCTTATTGGTCTTGCTGGTCTTGTAGTATACTATAACTTGTTATCGTATATCCTTTAGCTGTCACTGCTGGCTCACCACTTCAGGAATTAGGAATAATCTCCATTATATTTATAACCTCCATTTGCAATCAGAATTTTTGATAGTAATCTACACGCTACATATAAGTATGTAAGTAAGTATGAGTGTCATTTTAATGTTAATTCATTCCTGTCTTATCTCAATATATTTCCACTTAGCCCCACCTGTGTCTGCTCCTTGCATTAGTATTCATGTAATGTACAGCTAGCATTGTAGGACCCGTTCTTCGAGTTAATTTCAGCAGCCTCAGCACAGAAGGAAGCGAGGACGCTGCGCTGGATGTTTGGAAATATTTCTGTCCACCACAAAGAAAACCCAAGATGGTCCCACAAATACACAGTAAACACACCCAGGGGTATTGTTCTCCCACCGACAACTCAGAAATACACTTATACTGTATAGTCATTTAGCGTCCACACGCATCCTTAGCTCTCCCATAAATCAATGGTCCCACAGTGATGGTGTTGATATCAGCACATCAGCCATCTGCTCTGTGGATATGGGCACTCTGTGTCACACACAAAAACACAAATCGCCGCTGCGTATTCCCATAAGAGTCACAAACCCTTATGGAAACAGACTTATCTTGTGTGGAGCTGTTGTTGTGACGAATGTTTTTTAATATTTACGGCATCTTTAATCTGCATCTGTCTGTTTGTCTAGTGCCCCCGTCTGTGTTCATATGCCTTCTCTCTTTTACATTCTTCACATGTGCACCTTCATTTCCTTCCTTTGTCTTTTTTTTGTCCTAAATCAAAGAAATCTCACTTTTTCTCCCTATCTCTGTCTTCTTATTTCTGTCTCCCTCTCCCATAAATATGCATGCCGTCCAGTCTGGTCTCGTCACCGTCCTCTGGTGTAAATGTTTAAACATAGTGATTTTCTGGCCCTTTTTCCCTTCATAGGAAATCCAGTCTCACTCTGAAGCTAACAACATTTTCACACTTTCTGTCCACACATGTTGCCCCCCCCTATTCCACCATCGAGCGAGCAGACTCTTTTAAACATTTATTCTGCACCAGCTCTTTCCTCTGTACATTCTCTGCTAATCCTTTTTTTATAACCAGTTGGCATTATGGAGTGATTTTCTTCCTTTTATTTTCTGTTTCGTCACGGAGTTTCATCATTCGTCTGTTGCCCTTGTTTGTCGTGGGATTCAGCCTTGTTGTTCTTTCACTCTACTTGTTCTCTCCCTCGTCTGTTTGGCTCTTTTATTTCTGCATTTATACGTAAATGTGTGTGTGTATGTGTGTGTGTGCAGGCATCTGAGTATTATTTCTTTGTGTGAGCTGTCAGCGCTTTGGCAGCCGGCAGCCATCTTTCCTTCCATCCAGATGCAATTACACGTTAACCAAGTGTCTCATTCTCTCCTTTGATATCTGCTCTGTGTGTATCCTCGTTTCATCCCTCCACCTCTTTATCGATCCCACCTTTATCTTGTCTATCTTCCTTCATCCAGCCACACATCTCTCTTTCTCTCTTCATCCCTGGACAAAACAGTGGGTAGGTGTCATTGTATGACCTTGAAACGTTCTTCGCTCAGGTATGAGATGCAAACTGCCCATTGTTTCTTCTTCAGATCATCAAATCTTAATTTGGTAACGCTTTATTTTATGGGTCCATTTTTTCCACCTAATTGCCTCAGCTAAGCAGCTATTACATTTTTTATGCTTGAGGGAAAACGAGCAGCGGTGCTGTAATACACAGGAAAAAGACCATCCATTAAAGGACTGTGACTCATATTTTAAACTATCATCTTGTATCGAAATGGGTGACGAGCTGAGTCGCGTCAGATTAGATGTGTCAGGATCTTTGTGATTCAGCTCAGCAGGAGATTGACTGATAACAGCATGTTGCAATTTTGTGGAAAAAATCTGAATCACTATCAGGTGCTGGGGGGTAATGTTATATACCAAACGATGATTTATGTCTATGTAATGTTTAGGCCTGTTATTCAGTCTATATATGTTTACATTTACATACTCTATAGAAACACAGAATTTAATTTGTTTGTTTAAATGTCATGTTCACGCTCAGGTCACATTTGGGCTTGAGGGCGGCAGCAAATTAACATAGCAGATTCATCACGGTGCTGTACACACAAACAGAAAAAGATAAGCACCGGGTCTGTACCAATAGACATTATGTAAAGCAGCTTTTACATTAGCTACATTCAATTTAATGTTTTCTTGCAGTGATTCATTCAAGTATTTTTAGTAGCGTGCTGTGTGAAATGTTTTCCTCTCTGATTCCTGGGTGGAGGGCCACAGACGGACATGTTTGAGGAGAGACACTATGGTTTCTCTTTACACAGTGAATTATTAACAACTGCAGGTTAGCAGGCCTCTGACTCGAATGTCTTTTTTTAAACAGAACATTTATCCAGGTTTATTGTTGGATCTGACCTGTGTCAGGATGTCAAAGCAGGAAAAGAGGGCATAACTGGGTCAGGTTGAGCTTGTTTTATAGTTCCACATAAAACTGAAACCATCTCGCACCACAACAAATGTTTCATAGTGTACATGGATGTTGGGCTACCAGCAGGAGACTGGCAGTGAGTTACCACTGACCTGAGGTGAGGGAGACAATCAATGTAAGCTTACTGTTGATTAGCAGGAGGGAGAGGAGAAGCAAATGGAGTGACAATAATGAAAGACTTATTTTTAGAAAGTAAGGAAACAAGTTAATGGGACTGTTAGACTGTAAAATTAACACAGCTGAACCACTGAAGCACAGGTTAGCTGTCAGAGCTATTCACATTGTACTTCAGGAACCATCTTTAATGTACTTGTGTATACATAACCTAGTTTTAATGACATCACCCAGTAAACTGAGATGAAAAAAGGAGAGTTTAATGTTTTCTTTGAGTCCAAAATGTCATTGGGGCAGTACCTTTTTCAAGCTCTTCTTGGACCCCTACAATTTAATAGCATTTCCTAGTAGCATTTACAAGTAGCAATTGTGTGTTGTGACAAGGCTGGTAAAGTCCCTGTGATGCCTTTCCACTGCATATAAGGCAGGCAAACTGTGTGTGTGTGTGTGTGTGTGTGTGTGTGTGTGTGTGTGTGTGAGAGAGAGAGGAGGAGAGAAGAGAGAGAGAGAGAGAGAGAGAGAGAGAGAGAGAGAGAGAGAGAGAGAGAGAGAGAGAGTGTGTTATGATGGTTGCAGTGGAGGAAGTCCAATCAACAGAAGTATGGCAATGTGGCCAACCCCCTGCAGCAACAGAAATATAGTGGGCCATTTTTCAGTGTACACACACACACACACACACACACACACACACCCACCGCACAGTACATCTACAGTACAGCTTGACAATCTGGGCAAAAAAAATGAAGAAAACTGGAGCTATATATTGTGTTTTGATGCCATATTAGGAATATGCAGATGAGCTCCCCTTATTGCTGTTGAAGGGTTTGTGTGATTAATGAACTCTGTTTGTGTGCGAGCGTGTGTGTTGGGATTGTTCTATAAGCTTGACATCTGTTGCCACCACCCCTCTTGTCACAGTGTGTCTGTCTGCCTGTCTGCCGAGAGACTGTGGAGTTGGCCTGTTTTTCTTTCTCTCACACACACACACACACACACACACACACACACACACACACACACACACACACCCACATACACACACACACAAACAGGTTTTTTTTAACAAAAAAACATACACCACCAAAGCCTCAACCTATTAATTTGACTCGTGTCATGTTTTATTTTATTATTTTATACTGTCAAAGCTGAAGATGCACACACAAACACATACTCTTGTCAGGCTATAAATGATTGACTTGATGTGCCTTTGATGAATCATCCCAGTGAGATGGAGCTTCAGTGGAAAATGTCAACTTTAAACCAAGATTAAACGGAATCACTCTGAAAAGCTGCTGAGAGGGGTGTGTAATGTCTGTATCTGTGTGTTTGACTGAGCCCGTGGGTGTGTGTGAGTTTGAGTGTGATATTATACTATTGAATTCATCATGGTCTTCTTTGCAACCAATATAAATCCGTGTGTGTCTCTTTTTCTGTGTTTGTCTCAGTGTCTGATTCAGATAAAGCCTTGTACACATCACTTGATTTTTGACATTATTTACCTGTCACAGAGACAGTCTCGAGATCTGAGACTAAAACCCTCAAATCGGCATGAAATTCACACTCATGCTTGTTACGATGGGTCATCTAGATCACACGTTATGACTCGTTATAAGCTGTCACAGCCGCACCAATCATAGCCAAAACAATCTCAAAGACAAGCCTGGATGTTGTTACCTTTGGACAAAAACAAGCTAGCTGTTTCCAGTCTTTATGCTAAGCTAAGCTAGCCCACCGCTGGTTCCGGCTACATACTTAACTGTACAGACATGAGAGGGATCATTCATCTTCATCTAACTTTTGCCAAGAAAGCAGATAAGCACATTTCCCAAAATGTTACTTCATAATTTCGGGAGAGCTGATGTGTCACAACATTAAACAACAGAAATGTGTAATTGTGTCACGTTTTCACAGTGTGTCTGCCTGTGTCTGTCCTTTCCTACTGACAACCTCTGAGTTTGTGCACAGTTTGGTCTCCGGTTTGGCCCAGATACTGTACAGCAGTGTAATGTTCCAACAGTCTCTCTGTCTTTGTCCCATATGCAGTGGTGGGATGTGGAGAAAGGCGAGGCGCTGCAGACCTTCTACCCAACGGGAAGTGCTTTGAAGAGAATCCACGTGTCATCCGACTTCTCCACCTTCGTCACCATCGACAGCATCGGCATCCTCTACATCCTCCAGAGGGTGGTGTGATGGCAATGCTGCAACATCGGTCCAAACCCATCCAGCCAACCACTACATTTTCAAAACTACAGTGTCACTGAAACTGTGTATTAAAGTGGACGTGTTTGGTTGCATTAAGGACATTTTACAGACGGTTCAACCGTAAGCTGCGGTATCCCAGAATCGCACACACTGAGATGCACAGCTTACTTTTCCACTGTGCTCTCTCTACATTAAGGCTGACACTAGTCAACAGCATTACAGTAGAGCATTACAGACACACACTTTCAGTTCTGTGGGGTCAAATGACTCGGCTAACTTGAGTTGACCAGTTTATACCAGCTTTAAATGAAAACTGCTTCAGCGACGATCAACTGTTGAGAGTGTAGATGCAACATGATAGTGTGTTTGTGTGTGTGTGTTAAGACCGTAGATGCAAATGCATGTAAAAGGTGCATCAGATAGTAACATGTTTACTTAAAAAAAAAAGCCAGCAATCTTGTCGATCAGGGCTTCACAAGTTGTAGATCTATGAATCACTCATACTGAATAAAGAGGTAAATACCAACAGGCTAAAGATAGTGAATCTTGCATTAAGTTAAATGTGAATAATAAATGCTAATTATAAATCCATACTGCATTAGGGCTCAACATTATTGCATGTGACTTGAGAGGTTTTCCACTCCGCTGTCTGTAATCGTGCATTCAACTTGTCTGTGCTGTGATGTTTCTTGAACCTTCATTTTTTTTAATACTTGTGTTTGTTTTCGTTAGTACAAACAGTTCTGAGCCTTTTATTTACACTGCAGCCTTTAGTCTGAATGTTTCTTCAGTTTTCTGTTAATGGGTTACGCTTTTCCAGTTCACCAGCACAGATAGAACTTCTGGTGCACTTTGATAAGCATTAAAAATTGATAGCATGATTAAGTTTTAATCAGTACGCTTTTAAAAGTGAGTCCAAAATCTTTTGAAAGCCTATGTGTCTTTTTGTACATCCAAACTATTTGTACTTTTGAACTTAGATCAAAGGTAAATATTTTCTATAAAAAAAAATCACACCATGTGATTTATAATTTATAATCAAATTTCTACTTGCTGAAGTTAAAAGGCACTTTTTGTGCTTTATTAATTGCTTCATTTTTTTTAAGCAGTTCTTTTTAAGTCTTTATAACACATTGTCAGACTATGGAGCCTTTTCCTGTTCTGAGCACTTTGAAGCCGGAGTTACAATCTTTCATGAAGGTTTTGCAAATGTGGCTTTGTTCAGAAAATTAAAAATGGATTCTTACTTTGATTTGACAATACAGATACCGAGAGTTTATCCCTTCCACGTGCTATAATCTATCACACCTATTCATTGCAGTGGTGATAATACAGTCTCCAGCTCCAGTAGGAGTAATAAGCACACAAGGACAAAGTAAGGATGGATTTCAACGTTTCTGAACGATGCTGTTTTCGTTTTCACACTGTGCTCTTCCTGACTGGTGCTTTTTCCCGACTTCCTTCCTGTGTGGAGGTATCTGTCAAACATAATTGTTGAAATATTGATGTCTGCTCAGGATGTATTGATACTGTTTACAATGTGGTGCAATGTGAGCGTAATTTATAATTGATTAAATAACATACTATGATTGTTGACTATGATATGTTGTGTGTTGTTCAATGTCTGTGATGATGCTATTTCTGTGTAATGACACATACAATTTATGCATTAGGAGACATCCTCTGTCCTTCTCTAGTGTTCTAGCTGCTGCTTGACATTGGTTTTAAATGTCCACTCCACTCTGGCTGAATCTCAGTGTCACCCATCCTGTCCTGTGTCACCTCCAGTTTTTTACTTCATATGTCACCCTGTGACTGAGAACATTTCACTCCTGCTCTGAGGTTCAATGACCTGTTGAACAGAATAAATAAGAGATTTTTTTCAGCACTGTTTGCACAAAATATTTTCAGAATAGCATGAAAAATAGGTGTCCTGACATTTTATGTAAAGAAATATGTAAATGTAAGAAATACCATATGTTATTGTGTTTCTCTCTACAGTATAGCAGTTTAAAAAGAAGACATGGATCGGATATAGCATCAGTCACAGTTCAATGACTACAAGATAGAAACTCTCTGTACTGTTTTTCTCTTCATAATTTGTTCCACCGTTTGAGCCACTGAGCTATTTACAGTAGTTGACAAAAAATATCTGCTCATTTACTTGTCCACACAAAAAACAGTTGAGTTTGTTATGTAAATTTGATTATCTGCAGATCAAATAGTTGTCTCAATCTAACCCTTTAGAGATGAGCCAACAATGTGAATTTTGGGAAGGAGACAGAAAAAAATCAAAACATCTGGACCAATTGAGATAATTTGACAGCTGTCATTCTGTTGTAGTACACATTCATATTCATATTCAAATTGACTTTCCTCTTGAAAGTAGACAAAACAGTTATCTTGTTTGTCATACAATACATTTAGCATCATACTGTACATGCCAATTTACACACAAGGTAGAGGAAAGGAAAAATGCATTGTCAGGAAGTTTTTTTTAAATTAAAATAATAAAATACATTTTGCGACTTTGTAGAGGGTGAAAGCTGAGAGGCTGGAGTTATGTGAATGGAAACGTTTAATGTACAAAATGAATATTTGCGGATAAGCACCGAGTGCGTTTCTTATATTGAGCGCCACATCGTCATGCTTTTCCACTCCCCGCCACAGGGTGGCCCTGCTCCATAGATACGGTTACCATAGCGCCCGTTCCGGTTGAATTCTTGCGGCGGGCAACCTAAATGAACTACAACCAGTTTGTCGAAAACTGGCTAAAGAAATTGTCCCAATTTCAGGAAAAATGCAAAAAGAAAAGGAAGCAACCGACAATGATACCGAGGAAGATAGTGAAAACTTATATTTTTAGGACAACTCGGAGGACGCGGAGGAAGGTTAGTTACTGCTGTTCTGAAGTTTGTGTTGGTGCTAGCTAGCTAAACTAAGCTAATCCATTTAAAGTGACACTAGCCTGTAAAGACGCAAATAGCTCACCGGTGCACACCTGTGAGCACCATAGTGAGTGCTCCTTTCCCAAATTGGGATGTATGACCTCAAGAATGAACAAGACTAGTGATACTTTTATTATTTATTTCTGCTCAGTGCCCAGGGATATTGTACCATGGTGGACATTTCTGCACAGAGGAAGGCCAAGAAAAAACACCTGGTTTAAGGTAAGACTACTTGCTATGTTACTTAATGTTTATTGGTGGTTTAACTGCTAAGCTAATGTAGACAGGTTGCCAGGACTTGCGTATTATTTTACACTACTTCGGGTTTGATAAATGTGATTTTTTTTTTTGATAGTTTACCAGACCAAGTCACCAACATGTCCAGTGATTCAGTGTTGCACTAGAGTTGCCGTGCCTCCACTGATGTTCCTCTGCAGCTGACTTAAATTTGACTAATTAATTCCTCTATGGATGCAGTTGTTTATACTTGAAGCATTGCCTGTATGCAGCTTTTATTAGATGTATGTTTACACTAGACAACTGATATGAGTGGTTTTTGTTGGCAAACATTGATGAATTCTTTATAGGGTGCCAGGATTGAGAGGTTAGATCTCCAAAGGCCTCATTGGCCTCTGTTTTGTTTATCTGTTGTTGCTAAAAACAAATGAAAAAAGACACAGTGCAAAGAAGAAGTGGACATTATAGCTATTTGTGTATTTTTGTGCATGTGTATATTCTTCACTCTGGGTGTTGTCTTCAAATGTCTTGTTTTGTCCGATCAACTGTCTAAAAACCAAAGACAGTTTACAGTGATATAAAACTAAGAAAAAAAAGAAAATTCTACCTTTGGAAAGGCTTAAACAAGCGAATGTCCAAGTTTTTTTATCATTGAAAATGATGAACGGATTATTAGAATAGTTGCTAATTAATTTCCTGTTGATCGACTGATTAATTGACTGATATTTCAGCTCTGTAATCACTATAATTGTTCACACTGATACCAGTTGAAAGTAGCTTTGTGAACATCTGTGTTTTTTTTTAACTGACAAACTTGATTTAGTCAGTTAATCCAGGTCAGTCATCCCCTTGTCCAGTTTATAAGGAAATATACTGTTCATACTGAAATATTGGCATTTCAGTAAATCTGTTCAATTATTATTATATATGTTTATTTACTTGACCTCGAAGTGGTGAATAGATGTTATTGCTATACATTTAACTCTTTTACGTTGAAATAACTACACCACAGCTGTGAAAAGATCCTGGAGATGTCACTGGTGCTGACATTCAGATGGTAGCAGAATATATGACTTGAAATTAGACACAACAGGTGCGGATCATATTCCATACATGTGTGTGCGTGAAATATATATATCCTGCATTCTGCATAGTGACATCACTCCACTAGTTTACACACACGCTGGAGGGCAGTCTGTCCTGCAGTCCATGATGACATGAGGTGTTCACATTTACTGAGGCAATGGTAGCTCATGTATCTTTAACACATGTCCCATCCATCTGTTGACTTTGAGTAAACTTGTATGCTGGGTGAAGGGTGCGGCCCATTTCTCAGCCTAGTTATGTTGTTGGGTTATAGCAGTGATTGATAAAGCTGTAGTGTGATTCATCAGTGCTTATATAATTAGATATCTATGTGATGACAGACACGTGTGGCTGGCTAACAAGGGATGTGACCATGACTGTCAGTAGTTACCATGTCCTACTGACGCAAGTATAAGTATCAGAGCTGGCTGAGTGTTTTTGTGCTTGGGTGACTGCTATTTTAGTGACAAATATTGCAGTTGTTATTTTAATTGCAATTCATTTCTATAAAGGGACAATTGACTTTTATTTTTGGTCTTTGTGATCTACACACAGTATATTTAAAATTGATAAATTGTTCCAAGCATAATCACAAATCTCTCTTTTTTTGCATTAATAGAATCAGATAGAATAATGCAGTTTTTGTTGTTGATGTTCTTCCAGAAAGAATAACAGAAAGAAAGAAAGAAAAGAAAAATATTCAAATATAATCATGCCATTCAAAAGTGCGTTTGTATTTATTGATAACAGCTGTATAGTTGGTCAGTGATGGTTATAATGACAAACTGCTGGTGATTAGCATCTGACTAATGACACTTACTGATACTGTTTACAACTCTGCACCTTGATTGTGCAAGGCAACAGCATGGACAGCATATTAACCAGACGATAGCATAGGTTTTTTGTTATTAAGCCAACTCAGAGAATTAACTACAGCTGATTATCTTTACCAGTGACAAGTTTCATACTAGCAGGTAAAATCAACAGATGTTGGCTTAAACTTTCACTTGCTAGAGTTTGTTAAGGCACTGTTTGTTTTGTAAGTTTTAATTAAAGTTAGAGCTCTTGCGACATCTATATACAAACTATTGGGAGTTCAGCCCTAGTGGGTGGCAAAGTTCTTGTTGGTCAACAATCTTTTTGATATAATGATTTGCTGTCATGGGAAATGACCTCAACTGCAGTTTC